GGATTTTTACTCTGATATTTTAAAAAGGGCAGATCTCATGCATTAGTAGGTCAGACGAACGTGTAAGACAAGGAATATACTTTCGTAAAAGCTGATGCTGCTTATGAAAGTTGGGTCCGTTACAATGCACTATGCGAGCCTCCCAGATTCAGGAAAAGAAGAACTAAAAAGTGAATTTAATACCATAGCTGCCGTGAGACGCTTATAACTGTAGGTGCAGCTCTGCAATAATTAACTTAGCTAATGTCTGCAAAGAAAGGCACTGCCTATCAGAGTATCTCTCTGTCTGATATCTAACTAAAACTCAGCTACCCACCGCACAGCAGGCGCCGAGCGCAGAGGTGCCAAGCGAGCAGCTAACGGCTAATTCAAAACGTGATAAAGCAGAAATTCTCCCACTGTAACAACTTTTTGACCTCTTCATTGTCAGCTGGTCTAATCAAACTGTAATCAATGAATGTTTTCCCTATATGCAAGCTGCTAAGAAAGCAAGTTAATTGGCTCGCTTGAAAGATTTAAAGCACATGAAACTTCTGAGTGGTTTAACAATTTTCCAGGGACTGTTGCGAGGGAATAGCTGCAGAAACACTGCAATGCAGCACGACGCAGCTTGCAGACCACTGACACTGAAGCTTTTGCAAAAATCTTAGGGCTAAGTTCTACCCCATCACACTGCCACAGGGGACAGGAACGTGACCATTTGAGAGTAAAATGTGCAAAAAAGATGTTTAGCAGCTTCATTAGGAGTCCAGTATTCTGTCTGTCCCCACTCCCAGGCTGTGTCTTTCAGGACAAATTGTCACTATTTCAACCAAAGTTCACTTTCCTTTGAAAATGTATTTCAGTTTCACTGACAACATGTTTTTTTTCTTAACTCCTTCCACACTGGGCTGTAATTTACAACTCTTGCCATGAAAATCAAAATATGTCCTGCATAAAAACCTGGAAGTGTACAAAGTGTTTTTCTGTGTGGTATATATTCCCATTTTAATTCTAATTAATTTTTTAATAGGGACACACTGTTCCGCCCTAAGATTATTTTCCAGGCTCGGGTTTTTATTTCGCAGAAGAGAAGGACCTACTCTCTAGGTCCGTATTTGTACAATGGTTTAAAAGAGATCTGAGAGTTGCTAAGCTGGAAGGAGAGTTAAAATGCTTCCAAGAATATTAAAAATTGGAGAGCAAAGCTAAACGTAAGTGATCGGTTCCTCTTCTAATTTTGTTCTAAGTAGCTCTTGGTCCTTAAATTCTCTTTAATTTCATTTCAGCCATGTGCAGAAGGTGTGAGCTGCATGAATATAGGAAGTCATCTATCTGAAACCTGCAGGATGGCCAGTGTACTTTGAATACATGCCTAAACCTCCATATGAACTACATCCACAATGATTGTTAGAGATCGTGATGCTTAACATTACTTGACCTCCATTTACACAATACATGTGTACATAAGATACAGTACACAGGTTATTTTCAGTTTTTAAAATAAAAGTAAGGAATGACTCAAAAAGGCCAGAGCTATGGCTGCTGTTCCTAAAGCTGTAAAAATATACTCTCACTGTTGAGCTCTGATTTTTTAATCTCTATAATTTGTTTTCCTCTTGCTCCTAATAATCTTTCCATATTTTTGTTCACAGAATTTGCATTTCCGTTTGGACTTTCATACCTCTTTTTTTCTCTTTTATTTCTCAGAGAGATGAGGGGAATAAAGACGGTGACTGCATATGAGGAAAACAGGGACTGAAGAGCAGAAGAGCTGAGGAGTTGTTCTTTATTCTTCATACTATCCCTTGTATTTCCATTCAGCTCCTTCTCATGAAATCACTGCTTGTATTTTCCATTATCCCTTTGTTCACTGTATCTGTGGTCTTTTACAGAATTTTCTCCTGTTTCCAAGACCACTTCCATCCGAGGGACAGGCAGTGTGGTTCAGATAAGCACCATCACCAACCACAGGTCTGGCAGCATTCAAAAATTTCTGTGATGCTATTCTATCTGAGCTAATCTCTGCATTTGTTCATTCCAGACAGGATGAGAAAACAAAGTGCCATAATATCAAGAGGAAAACCTATTCAAGTTGATGGCAAGCACTAGATTTTTTTGCAGGAGTTGCCATTCTCATGAGATTTGCTGCCAAGTCTATACACATAAATGTGAAGGGAGTTCATACGAGGCCTAGATGAACTTTTGACTGAAACAAGGAAAGGGAAATTTAAACTCCGAAAGCTGTTTCTATAGTATTCACCTCATTTTCTTCCCACAGCAAAGTATATTATTTGGTTTTGGAGACATTGCCAAGATGAGTGTGCTGTAAGCTTTTCTCTTCTACATAAAAACTAAATTATTGGAACATAAGCTTTTTCTACTAACAATTTTAATTGCTAATCATCAGCTGGCTTATAGTATTGACTGGTACTTATCATCACTTAATACCTGAAATATCAATAGCTAAAGGTTTCATTGAATGTGTTTGTTTGCAACAACATCTAAAGGCTTAATAAGCTGGAAAAGATTTTTAAAAAGGTACTGGTTAACATTTCCAGTAGCTGTTCTTGGATCTCCCCCAAAAAACTGAATTTGTAGTAACAACATCTCAAAGCTTCCAGTATGAAAATGGAAAAATCAAGCTACAAGCCTACTTCACTTACGTACTTTACTAGTTTTGGAAGCATTTTAAAGCAAGGAGCCCCTGAGGGAAGCACAGCTGTACATTTTTAAGACTGTGTTTTATGACTATGTTCCAATATATGCATCAAGATAAGATATGGTAAATAAGAGGTCAGGTATAAATTACAGAGAAAGGACAAAAAGAGTTGTGCAGGATCTTCAGAATAAGACAAATATTTATGCTGGTGTGTGCTGGTCTTTCTGTGTGGCCTGTAAATCCTTAAATAGTTCTCTGTGAAGGTTCTTTAAACAGCTGTTTTAAAACTGTTTCATCTTTCTTTGCTGTTAGGGATTTTAAAGAAAGAAAATACTTCATTTCACACTTGTATTCACACAGTCTGCATTAACCAGCATCTCAGATTAAAATGAAATATTTCAGCAGTAAGACAACACATGCTGGACAACTACTGAATACTCTCACTACCTTAAAAGATTCAATCATTTCCTATAAAAAGGCTAACTTTTGGGCCCTCTTCTTCACCAGCTCCACTCTCTTCAGTGTGTTCTGAACTATTTGGGTGAAACAGAAAACTGGCTGTGCTTCACTGACAAGAAGTCACGCAGTTGGGACTAGTCTGCCCTCAACAGGGTTTCTGGTGAATGGAGAAACATTGTAGGAAAAATGGATTAAATATGCAATATAATACTTCATGGATTTCATCAGTATCATTTGAATTGCATGTTCACCAAAACTGAATTTGACATAGTACAGAGCTGGTAAAATGTAGGGGGAAAGTATGTCAACTAAAAGGTGAAATATAATAGGAAAAAATCTGTCAAGAGATGCATTTTTTGTGTATTAACAGTGGCACAGAATGACTCTGAAATGCCAGTGATTGCTACAAGTACTCAGACACCACGGTGATAATTGCAGTATAAAATTGCCAGACAGCAAACAAGACTGCCAGAACTAATGGGAACATGCTTTTATTCAGAATCCAGTGCGCATAGCTATCTGTAATGGAATTGCTTTTCAATACTTTTTCTTTGAAATAACTCTGATTATTACTTAAGCATTTTTATATTAATATGTTCCATTTATTTAACTAGAGATAGACACTTGCAATTTCATTTGCTCTCATCTGCCCATTTCTTAGTATGGCCTAATGTATTCTGTTTGGTGACTCAAGTGCAGATAAACCAATAAATCGATGCATGATACCGGATCTGAAGCACAACTGTAAGTTTGACTAAAATACCAGCTGTTTTTCTCTTCGTGTGCTATCATCAGGATCCAGAGAAACAAAAGAAGGTATCATGCTGGATAAATTCTGGGACTACTAATTCATGTCCCCAGTGTCTCTGAAAAAACTGACTGGCTGAACCTGGTATTAGAACTGTTCTGTTTCACCTGAGACCCACATGTGTCCCAGGCTGGGCACAATCAGGCAGAATCAACGTGTGTTGACAGGTCATAGCAGGACTTGTGAATTGAGCTAGAACTGTTTACTGAAAACTGATAAAATAGTGCCAGCAAGTCTTCACAGAGACCTGTAGTTGCTGAACTCACCTGGAAGAGTTCCAAAGTAACAACTACTGTGTAAGAAAACCATCTTTAGTTCCTATCTGAAAGTAATATTCCTTTCATGAATTCCTTGAGAGCCTCCGATAGTCATTTGGGTCATAGCTCATGGATAATGAGAAGAAGTTCTGCTACTTAACTCTGGACTCATAAAATCAATCAATGCCTACTTTTTCCCACTGAAACTAGCTTAAACTCTGGAAAGCTAAATATTAGACACCAAAAGCTGGATAAGATACATCCCACCTTAAGTGTCTTATATTTTGCTGAATTTCCTGTTCATGCTTTTATACAGAAAGCTGTCATTTTCTCTAGTAAGTTCTTGTTATCTGGGTTTAATTGCCCTAGAGGTACAAGGACACCATCATCCAAAAGTAATAATGGGAAGCTCTACGCATTTAGCAAGAAGCCTTTATATTTGTTTAATTCTGATCTGACTGTCTGAAGCAACTTCAGATCTTCCTGGCGCTTCCTTTCATTCTTATCTTTTGCACTATCTCTATAAGGAGAATAGAAAAGAACGTAAAATGAGCAATAACGAAAATAAAATGATTAACTAAGTGTTGATTACTGTCTTCTTATATGCACATTTAAAGACAGTTCTTATAGTTGCGTAAAATACTACTAAAAGCACAGTCTGTGACAAAAATACAGCCATTTCCTTGGGATAGAATTGCCACTTGAATTTTCCTTCCAGATGACTTCTGATGATAGCTGGGAAACGCACTATCTACAGCAGCCTCATCCTGTTAAATGGGTGGCTTTAAAGCACTTATCTTTTACCATATGTCCTTAAGTTTATTATTTTGCTTACCCTCCGGCTGGTATTGTGCTATGATTGTTACCGTCTGCCCTGCTCCTTTTAGCGCAGCTGCAGCCTGCTCGTGGGTAGCACCTCGAAGATCAATACCGTTCACCTACAGAAGGAATGCAAACAACAACAGATCTGAGTAGTTTAACATTAGACAGAAAGACAGAGTTGGGTTTTTTTTTTTGAAATATCTGATGGATGTAAAGGTCAGGTTGCCCAGATGCAAAAGTGAATACAAAATCAAAAAGGCTGAGAGGATGTTACCGTGAGGATCTGCACTAATACCGCACACCACAGTTTGCTTAGGCTTATCCATGCGTATCCTCCGACCACTACTTTTGGGGGTTTCCTGCTCTACTGAGTTTACATTTTTAGTAGTATCTTCATCAGTCAATATCATTTACTATATAAGGTTCAAAAGAGAAATTTTCTGTGGTGCTTGAAGGTCCCTGTAGAATACCACAAGCAAGGAAACTGCTCCTTCAGCCAGACTCTGCAAGCCCAGTCTGTAGCATCAGGGAAACCTGGAAATATATAAAGCTCCTCTAACAAAAACTGCTCTTTGGAGAACTTCCAGAGCAGAAACCCCATCTACCATTTTCTTTTCCTGCAACCCCTCCTCCTATCGCCCAGAAACAGCCCTGTATCACGCACGTGACAGCAATGGAGTTGCTCTCAGATACAGCTTCACCACCTCTGGCTGTTCCACATTAATAGATCTTCCCATGGGGTTCCTCTTACTTAATAATTTTCTGCTGCATAAGCAGTGGAAGTGGAAAAGAGTAGAACAAAGTAGGGAATCCACCCCTAAAACTCAGGGGCAGTTGCAGAACTCTCTTGATTTGTATTTGTGATGTCAAATGTTTTGTCAGCAGCATCCCAAGAAGAGACAGAATTCATATATAGAATTATTAACTGCTCCAGTAACTTGAACCTTGCTTTCCAGTGGGAGTGTTACTGTCTGGCTAAACTGAAGTGTGTGAGATTTCTTTTATTTGTTTGTTTATATATTTATCTGTCTTTCCTTTTCACTTCCACAGGTTTCCACTCCACAATGTTTCAGTGAAGAACAGGAAACTTTTGACATGTAAACAACCTCAGCAGGACAGAAATCCATTTCTGATTGCTCCAGAAAAGAAAAGAAAAAAGAAAGGAAATAAAGAGCAGGGGGAGGAAAGAGAACAATAACATAGATTTCACAGGCACACCAAAACACAAGCCCCAAATTCTCAGCAATAGCAACTATTTGTATTTATTTTTATCAAGTACTATCACAAGATGGCTAAGCACATATTGAAAAATATGGATTTTATTTCATTTAAATTTTATCAACTTTTTAAGGCTTACAGAAATAAATTTAATTCCATAGAACTTTACAAATAACAGCTACTGAGTCTGTTATGAATACATTTATTTTGATCACTTACATTTAGAAATTGTCCTATCTTAACTTGCTGTCTTTCACCAAATTTTAGAGATGTGATGTTTTGGGAACACCTTTAATTATTATTTATCATAGAATCATACAATCATAGAATGGTTTGGGTTGGAAGGGACCTTTAAAGTTCATCTAGTCCAACCCCCCTGCAATGAGCAGGGACATCTTCAACCAGGTCAGGTTGCTCAGAGCCCCGTCCAACCTGACCTTGAACATTTCAAGGGATGGGGCATCGACCACCTCTCTGGGCAACCTGTTTCACCACCCTCGTAAAAAATTTCTTGCTTATTTGCATGACAAAATCTAGTATTTACTAGAATGTGAACAGCATTTAGACTATTATTCTTAGAAAAACTAATTTGTGATAGCAATAATATAAACCCCAGGGGTTCCCACAGTTTCTGATCCAGAAGACTGCATTATGCTGCAGAACTGTTGACTGTACACAGAAACGTAATTGTCTAGTTGAGGTTTCAGGTTTCTGAAAATATGATTCCATAAGAATCAAAGTTTTCCCAGTTCAGGCTGTCTTTCCTCAATTAGTTTTTTTTTCTTTATGACAAGGAAGGAAAACCCACATTTTTTCCTAAACAACTCATCCTTTCTTCCCTCAAAAAGTTTTTATGCTGCTCAATTTGATAATTGTTTAATACTTCTCACCACCTTATTCACAACAATCAGCTCTCCCCATTTCTAAAAAAAATTAGTCTGAATTTCAACTGTCTATATTATTTTAATATCATTCAAAACTACAGAAGATCTAGACTTTTGGAGAAGCATGATTTGTTGCAATCTTTCCATGTTATACAAAAATAATTACACCCTGGCTTATCTTTAGATTGAGGAAGCAAACAAGTAAATGTGGAACTAGCATACCAGAAGAATATAACCTATTCAAATCTTACCTTACCGATATCCCCATGCATACAAGACCTATTATATATTCACAATAATGATGTGAAAGAGGAAATTAATTAAAAGTTACCTCACAGAAAAATAACTCTTTTTTTTTTTGGTTAATTTGTCCATGTGTACATTCAGCAGTGGAGAGTATGAATACTATCACCATGCTGGTAATGCCTGCTTGATCCATGCACGTATCTTCAAGCCTTTGGGGCAGCATATGAAGGGCATAAGAGGCAACATGGTACCAGACCACCATCACTTCTTTGCAAGGAGAGGAATCTCAGCAGACTGGCAGGAGGATGACTGGTAGAGTATATACACGGGCAAAATATTTTAAGGAGTACTAAAGTAGCTTCTACAAGATAGAGACCTTGTAGTAGAAGTGTAGGCTGGAAGACTACCATACCTAAAGAAACATCCAAAGGAAATGTCTGTGCCCGAACATAGTGCTTTATGAGAATAGGTATGGATGGATCCCCGTGTTGTTACAATCACGCAGACAATCTGAAGGTAAGCTGTGACAATAATTCAGTGTTCTGGTCTTGTATTAGTGTCTTTGGCTCACATATTTCAAAGCATTGTATGCTGATAGATACACTCTGAAAACTTCTACAACATTGTTGTCATCTGAAGTGCACAAAATTCATGTTGTTTTTACAATTTCTGTCTAGATTGTGTAAAGGGAAGTGAATATCTTTATTCACAAGTAATGCTCTAATGCTCCTGAAAAGAAATTCTGAGCATGGGGCAAATGTAAGATAATAAACTTCATAATTTGTCTAACCCAAGAGTTCTCAGTTGTCCCATCTTCCTGTTTGAAAGCAATGGCTGTAAAAATGGCTGGTGGAAGCTTTCCAAAAAAATGAGCCAAAGATTCAAATGCTTTCATCAAGGTTGTGTACATAAACCTTAAGTTCGGTGGATGGGAAGACTAACATAGACCCCTGGAAAAAACTCGCTGAAATTCAGTCTAGGAATATAGTATCTTAGAAGGCAATAATTAAGTGCATTCTAAAAGAACAAAGGAGAGAATCAGAGCTTTCAGTGTCATAAAATCTAATATATTTTAATGCACAACACTGCAAATACTTAAAGAGGAATATGATGTCAATTAGGACTTAGTTTGCAACCTCTATGGAGAATAGAAGCATCCTGAAAGGAGCACAATTGAGGGTACTGTTATGGAAGAAAGAGGTGTTATGCCCTACTTTTACTCAGTGATGGTGTTATGACAGTTGATGCTGCATTGCCATGGGCACAGATGTACCAGCACCACAACTACTCATTAACTCAGCACTATAGTCACAGCTTTGGTACTGTGGAGGTCCGAGCAGAATCCTTAAGTTTAGGCAGCACAGTGCCTATATCATGCCATAAAGGAAACCTCAGCCTTGACTCAATGTCTCTGAAGAAGATAATTTTGAACCAAGTCATCTTTCCTTTAGTAGAGAGCTTGGCTTTTATCTGTGTGTTCTTCCCTTTCATAACTGGAGTCCTTGAGAGAGTCCTGAGAAAGAAGCAATAGGATGAACTGAAGAAAAGCTTCAAGGAACATTCCTGAATTCCTCAGCTCCTGAGTTGGGGAGATGGATATGAATAATGTCACCCAGTCAGTATTAGAAGGTCCAGGGAAAAAAAAAATTAGCAATTTTGTTTAGGCTTAAGCTTGAAGACTGTAGACTTCAGGAGAACACAAGCCTCTCTTAAGCAATATAGGAAAACATTGTGGTGGTCTCTAAGTCTGTTTGCATGTTATCTTGCTCACCAATACCTGACAGAATCTCACTGCAGAATAATAGGCCTTAAATTTAGAAAGGACTTATAACTTAGTCTGACTTTCTGAAGAACAAGAAGAGTAGATGCTAACTTGATTTCTGGGTATTATTTCCCAATATTTAAAAGCAAACATAATCAAGTCCCAAACCGTCTAGTTGAAAAACAGCATATTCATGTAGCAACATTAAATCTTGATGAAAGACACCATTAATTCACACATTTTAATCAAATTCTTACCCTCAGGCCAAAATGAACAAGAGTTTCTGAAAGGATAAAACAAATAATACTGTCTTGCCTCTTCCTCCAAAACAATGTCTTAATTATAACAATTGTGTGCAGTGATATTTTTCCCTGACATGATTTCACTGCAAATTGTTAAATCTGATTTCAACTACTGCTTTCCATTAATTTCATGCAGTTTATGTAAGAATAATCAGTAAAAGAAATAAAATCCCCGGAAAAAGTTGCAAGTGAGTCCAGGAAAGTTTTATATATATCAAAGGTGTTTTGTTGTTTGGTTTGGGTTTTTTTCCCCCTATTAAATGGGCTGGCTTCCTTTAAGAAGTATTATATAATAAGCGAAGTAGCACTGCTGTTCTGAGCTTGACTGCACAATCCTGATGTCCTGGCCCAGAATGAACTTGACTGCACAATTTCTGATGCCTAACTCCAAAATGATTTTGACATAATGGAAATAAGAAGAGCCTCCAGCTTTTACAGACGTCTGTCTCTTCTGCATGCTGTAGCAAAAAGCACTTAGAAAGCTTACAAACAAAGAGAAGTGCCGCAATGGAAGATTATCATTTAAAACTACCAACAAAACTAAACTGAGATGGAGAAAAAGATGCAACTATAGTTCACAGTAATTATAGTAATTGCCTTTGCGTTCATTGACTCAAAGTAAAGCATGATCTACTTCATTGAATACTGAATCATAATCTAAAGGAAAAGTAAGATTCATATTTTGGGTTGATCAAACTCTTCTA